GTCATCTAGTCCAACCCCCTGCTCAGGCAGGAAACCCTATACCATTTCGGACAAATGGCTGTCCAGTCTCTTCTTAAAAACTTCCAGTGTTGGAGCATTCACCGCTTCTGGAGGCAGGTTGTTCCACTGGTTAATTGTTCTCACTGTCAGGAAGTTTCTCCTTAGTTCTAGATTGCTTCTCTCCTTGATTAGTTTCCTTCCCGTTCCGTTATTTGTAGGGGGAAAAATAATGTAGGCTTGGTTTCAGGCGAAGGCACAAAATGTTAGGCATTGCCAGCCAACTCTTCTGCAGGCTGGGCTCGGGGGAGAAGGGAAGGGGATACAGAGGAGAGCTCATTCAACGGAAAGCTGGAAAACATGCCGGCTTGGCCTCCAAGTCGGGCTGTCAAACAAAACACAGATTAGGGGGGACAAAGCAGCTGAGGAGGGAATGACAAGAGCGGGTGAGTGACCCAAACCTTTTCCATTCTCTTGGCAAAGACGGGGGGCCCAAGGGGAGGGAGGCGAGAAGGGCTGATCCCACGAGGAGCTTTTCAAACGTTCAAAACAGGCCTTTTGTTTAAAAAAAGCACACAGCAAGGTTGGCCGTGACCCTGGAGGCACAGGTTTTATTTCATGTTGGTTCAGAGTTCGGGACCCTTTGACGGAGGGCCGACAACATGAATTTGGAGGCTGAAGAGGAAAGCAAGGAGAAGGAACGAGGCGTGTGGGAAGAGACGCCTGTTCTGCCCTTCTCTGGAGTGGAACCGGTTCTTCCCACCGTGGTGCAGACATGGGGGCGAGAGGACCCAGCTTATGTAACATCTGAATGAGACGCAGCTCCCTCCATGTCCCCAAGTAGCTCAGCCCACCGGGAGAGTAGCTGTGCGCTCTGAGAGGGTTGCCACATGGCAAGGATGCCATGACAACGCACGGAGAGCGCAGTGGAGAAAGATCTGGCAGCATGATCCCCTCTGATCTTACTCCCAGGGCCACTGAAAGAAAAGCCCACACGGAGGGGGAATTGACTTGCCCCCAAAATGAGTACCAGAGCCACGTTTTTACAGAATGACACAGCTGGAGGGGACCTTGGAGGTCTTCTAGTCCAACCCACCGAGCTAATTCCATTTACGCCCACAGATGAGCACAGATTTGAAGTCCGGTCTCTGGCTCAATGCCCCCCCCACCACCAAAGAGATTAAATCCACATTTCTGGAAACTGAAGAGACTCACCGGATGGGCTCTGAAAGGAGATGCTTGTTGAGCACCTGGACGAGGACGTCTTCGGAGAAGGGGGGCTGCCCCTCCTTCCTCTGGACATCCAGGTGGGCAGTGTTGCAGAGGGCATGCACCCCAGCGTCTGTCCGGCTGGAGACGACAAATTTGATGGGCTCGGATGCTCTGAGGTTTTCTGCAGCCTTCTGGGAAGTGGGGGGGGGGGGAGAAACAGACCCTCAGCTATTGGGGGTTTAGATGTCTTTCACTTATAACAGTAAAAGCTGGAGGAGAAAACTCACAGCGGCATCGCAGACAAATTTTGCTTGATGGAGTCTGGTTGTCTGGAAGGTGGTTTGTTTTTTTTTTCACTCCAGGAAGAGCAAGCAAATTCGCATGTGCGTGCACGTGCATGTGCAAATGGGGCTGCCAGCCCCCATGCAACTGCTAGCACAAGTAGGGAGTGTGCACACACCGGCCAGCCATTCCAGTGGCCAGCAGACCACGGACCGGTAGTGGGCCACGGCCCACAGGCTGGGGACCCCTGCCCTAGATGACCAGGTGCAAAGAGCTAGTTGAAAATCCTCCTCTTTTTAAGGAGGTGGCAAGTTGGAGGGGTCACGGCAGAGAACAATTGGAAAAGCTCTCAGGGATGGGGATGGGAGCAGGATCCAGTATGATCTTGTTGCAGATAATCATCCCGAGCGCAGCAGGATTTTCTTTGCCTCTCCTGCCTTTACCCTCCCCTCTTCCTGTTTCTCCAAGGGGCTGAGCCGTCCTGGGCATCCATCCTGCTGCTTTTGATTGCCTGGGAAGAAATTCTTGGCTCTGGCACAGACTTTTAGCGTCCAAGAAAAAGATTTCTTTTCCCCCCCTTAGGCAGAGATCTCTTCTGGATGGATTTCATTGCCAAAAAAAAAAAAAGGGGGTGGGGATGGGGGAGTACCGGAAAGCTGGGGAGGGGGGAATGAAAGATTCTAGCCAGGAAAGTAGACAACCCCCCTCCCCCTGCATCCCAGCCAGCACATTTAAAAGACGAAAAGCAAAGCACACAATTTCAGCCACGCTGGTTTCTTTGGGAGAGCTCCAGATTTTTGAAATCATCCTTGGGAAGAAACAGCAGGCCCAACTTTGCCATTTCCCCCCCCCCCCTTTAGTTTTTTTTTTGGGGGGGGGGAATAAAACTGCTGAAGTGGCCGTTCCTTTCTCAACAGTGGATCAGCCCTGGGCAAAGGGGATTCCTTGGAGATGAAGCCTACCAGCCCGGCTGATCTCTAAAGATCGCAGCAGCAAGGCTGGACCCGGTGGTTGGCGGTTGGGAGGCAAGATCACCACCAGGAAGGTCCTAAGCTCCGCGGGGCAGGTCTGAGGGAGCCCAAACAATCCAGAAGGGGGCAGCAGTGAGCCGAACAAGCACAGAGGCAAGCCAGGCTGACTCCGCTCAAGGTAGACGGGTGACTTTGGGTCCTTCTGGGTGTGGAAAAGCTGAGCCTCCTCCACCTCCTTTTGAAAGGAGGCCAGTGCAGCAAACAGGACCCCTTTTCCCGCCCCGGGTGGTGGATCAATCCTAAGCCACAGTTCCTTACCTCCAGGTGATTTTCCACACCAACAGCCGACATGCCGGAGGGCAGAGCCTTCACACCGCTGCAGGGGGCGAAGAAAAACAACAACAACAACAGTGAAATTATTCTTTCACGGTGGTGTCAATGCAACCCCTGCTGGATTCCAACATGGACAAACGAGATGCTTTGAGAAGACGAGAGGTAACCCCAGTCTTGGGTGTTCACCACCCTTTTTCTTTCAAGACTTCCCTGTCCAGCTGTCTCTAGTGGATTCCCAGCCATCAGCAGAGAAATTCTGTATATAGAATTCCTTTGATTATTATTTTTTTTCTCCCTCTGCACCTTTTTGGAAATCCCACTGGCCTGTTTGCCCCTGGCAAGTTGTTCCTCAACTACATACCCAGGTCTCTTTGTGCTCAACGTTAGCACACCCAAAGGAACAGAGACGGGCCCAAACTGGTAACCGCGGCAATTTTTGAACCCAATACCACAGCACTGTACTCTTTCCTACCGGTCATTGTTGAGCAGGTACATCCCCAGAAAATTAACTTGTTCAGCTGCCTTAGTACTTCTGGCTGTTTCTGTTATTCCAACAGCAGCTTCTGTTTCCCCATTTTTAAAGCACAATACAGATAATTACAGTAAGAATCATTATTCCCCATTCATTATCTGCGTGTAGCCTCAAAGTTAAAGCAAGCAGTAGCTCTGAAGGCAAGAACCAAAATATATCCACTCAGGGTAGGTTAAAAGAAGAGTTTTGCTAAGAATGAGTGGCACAGGCTTTTGTGTGAAATAATTGCCTTTTTAATAATAATATGCCTAACAAGGTTAAAAAGCAAATGAAAATATTAAAGTGGCAGGTGCAGACACAAATCCATATATGAATAACAGCTGTCACTGACATGCTAAATTCCAATTATTCCAATTCTTCCTGCCATCACTCAACCTAGCAAATTTCTCATTGCCTAAGAGCGGGGGTTTTCAGACTGTTCTAGGAGCCCTGAGGTTTTGTGAAAGACTAAGAGCAAAAAAAAAAAGATTTGAACCCAGCCGTTCTTTGATCCTGAGAGCTTTGCCTCTCTATGGTGATTCTGAGAACCATTAAAAAAAAATCTAACAAGTTTCTTGGTCTAAGAAAGGTGGAAAACCTCTTGTCCAAGCTAACAAATTAGGGCAAAAAAGGGGGTGTTACCCTGACTGTCAAAACTGGGGAGGGGGGGGAAATGTGATAATCCTTCCTTCTTCTCCCAAACGGCTGAGTTAATCTATGCTGTGCCCCAACAAAGGATTTCAGAATCAATTCTGAAGCCAGAGTTGCATGTTGCTGAAACTTGGCTGGGTTCCAACAGTATGGAAATGCAATATATTCCCCCATCTCATTCAAGCCTTGTGGTTCTTGAAAGATGAGCCTCTTGAAACCTGGATGGTTTTCCCCGTTCCTGTGTTATTAAAAAGTTCAGACTATGTTGTTTCTCTCCTTAGTGACCAGAATAACCGAGTTGGAAGGGATCTTGGAGGTCTTCTAGTCCAACCCCTTGCTCAAGCAGGAACCTTATACCATTTTAGGCAAGCGGTCCGATCTCTTCTTAAAAACCTCCACTGATGGAGCACCCACAACCGATGGAGGCAAGTCTTTCTGTTGATTAATTGTCCTCACTGTCAGGAAATGTCTCCTTAGTTCTAGGTTGGTTCTCTCCTTGATAAGTTTCCTTCCATTACTCTTGTCCTGCCCTCAGGTGCTCTAGAGAATAGATCCACCCTCTCTCTTCTCTGTGGCAGCCCCTTAGATATGGGAAGACTGCTATCATATCACCCTCAGTCCTTCTTTTCACTAGACTAGACCTACCCAATTCATGCAGCCGCCATATATTTTAGCCTCCAGCCCTCCCAATCATCTTTGTTGCTCTTGGCACTATATTCCAAGTGGGGTCTTACATGACAGTGCAGTGACAGATTTCTTAGTAGGCAAAAGTTTATGTCCCCTCATGGCCGACCGTGTAATATTGATGGCATATTTGTCTTGCAGCTGCATTTCTAAGCCAGAGCACAAGACCGCTGTTGTAAAAACATATCCAGCCCTGCAGCAAACCCAAAGGGAGAGTAAAGCTTTAAAAGAAATGTTTAAATGCCACCCCTTCCAGCCATTTTGTCTTCCACAGTGGGATGAATCAGAAGGTCAGATAGATACAGGGTTGTTAACTTTTACTCAGAATCCAAAAGTAAAGAAAAAAACAACCAAGAGCGACATGCATTTACACATGACTCCTTCAATTTAAGCTATTTATTCTCTTCTGCAATACAAAATAGCAGAGTAGAACTGGGAGGGGTCTAGAAGTCCAGGCTTGGCACACGGGCCAGGGGTTCCTCTCCGGCTAACACACCCCATTAAGGGCATTCCTAAGGATTGCAATGAAAAACTTTTTGGTTTTTTTTTAAATTTATTTTTTTATTTTTCCAAACTCTCCCCCATACATATACCGTGATATTTATCAGATATTAACATACATTCTTTTTACATTCTTATATATAAGATACTTTTAATGAAATAAATACATACACATGACTTTTGGTGTTGCTCGCCCATTTCCCCTTTCACTGCATCCCCACTCCTTCTTCTCTACCTTCTTTCTCCCTTCCTTC